TTTCTTCATGAGTACAATAATCAATATTTTAGTTTTAATGATTCTTCTACCACTTAAGCCTGAATGCTGCCTCCACCTTTATGTTCATCCATAATTACCGTGCTGCAAAAATGTCCCTGCTGACTCACTAAAAATCTAATATACGTATCTTCTTCAGGATAATATAACAAACCTTATTAACAGAAATAAATAGATCCGGCTAGTCACTCTCATTCCACCGCTATACCGTGGATGGTGATTGAATATAAAACATTTTTCTCTTCAGATTTCGACCCCTCAATGACGAAGAATCACCCTGAAACTTATACTATAAAGTACAAACGTTATTATCGTTGTTCTATCAACATCATAAAGACCTTCTCTGAGTTCTCACAGGTTCACCATCATAAAAAATTTGCGTAAACTATCACTATAAAGTTAATAGCATTGTTTGTGTGGGAATATAGCAGAGTGGATACAAAATACGTGTTCTCAGTAAAAGAGTACATACAAGAATTTGAGGGCTCTAGAATGTTATCCATGAGGATTCATCATATGTAGGTCCTAGCACATTGGGAGTCTCTTCCTGGATGTCTTCCTTTAAGAGAAGAACAGAGAGGATCCATCAATGTTTATAAGTACTGACATCATTAATCTACCCTTCTGCGACCACTTATCCTCACAAAAACGTGATAGATACGGTTGATTGATAGAGGAGCGATATGACAATAGCGACATAATTTATTCATCAGACAAGCAGCTGTCTAGCCCTTTAAACGAATGCCTCCCTCCATCCATATACTTCGCCGACCCTAATTAATGTGATGCAAAGGTATCATTTTCGAATGAATCTCAGTCCCACACACAGATTGATATTGATTCCTAAATTAACTAACAAAGTTTTTCTCAACACAGATAAATAACATATTCCTCAAATGAAAAAATAATAATAAAGTGTTGCTAGCATGGATGGTTTACTTGGATGTGAGAAATTTTTTTTCTTGAAGTAAATAGCATTGCCTGTCTGGGAATGTCACAGAGTCGACACGAAAGATGTATTCTTGGTACAAGAGAAATGTTTTCGAGGCACTGGATTTTTTCTACATCTAGAGGCTCACAGAATCAGTTATCTACGATCCCCTTCCCTTACAAAATCGTGATGGATGCGATTGATTGATAGATATTTCATATGACAACATAGCGACATGATCTATTCATCAAATTGCAAGGATGCAGATGTCTTGCCCATCTTGCCAGAATGCTTTCCATCACCTCAGGGTTCATCCATCTACTTCCACAACACTAATTACCGTGTTGCAAAGGTATACCTGTTGACTGAACACGCATTGTGATATTGATATCTGAATTGAGTGACTTTTTCTCTATTTTTAGAATTCATCTCCATCAACACATATGAACTCCTCGAGTGAGAACATATTAGAGCTGCTCCGGCGTGGATGGTACTTGGACGTACGACATTCTTCATCTTGGATTTTGTTCCAGGAATAGCTGGTTGAAGTAACCAACTATGCGATCGAGATAGAATCATCCAGGAACTTATGCTAGGAAGGTTTCACAGTTGTAGTGATTATTGTCTTATTGTCTATCTGGAAATATAGCAGAGTCAACACGAAAGATGTGTTCTCAGTACAAGAAGAAGAATTCGGAAGCACTGGATTTCCTTCTGCGATTCCTTTGACATAGGCATATTGGCGTTCATTTGCTGGGATGTCTGCTCCTACGTGAAGAATATGCAGAATAAGTTACCTATACACGAAAAAAAAATTACTCAGCTCGAATGAATATTTAATAGTGGCAAGTGAAAACTTGTATATCAATTTGAGACAAGGTAACAAGTTAATAACCTCAAAAATATTTGTGTTCTTGAAAGTGAACACTAAAACTATCAACCTGTTCCATTGAATTTCAGATTGATAACTGTTAGTGAACACAGCACTTGTCATCAATGACTTATTCACTTGTTATTAGTCACTTATTAACTTGTCTTTAGAGATTTATACATTTGCGATTAGTGACTTTTCCACTTGTCATTGATGTCTTGTTCACTTGTCATTAGTGGCCTATTAACATGTTATTATTGACTAATTTACTCGTCATCAGTGACTTATTCACTTGTCATCGGCTAGGTACTTATTACAGATTACTACATATTTTTCTCTGAAAGATGATAACCTTGATGGAAAACATAAGCTTTGTGCATTCGAAACATTCATTTTAGAGCTGTGATGAATTCAAAAATCACAAAAAGGTAAGGCTGACGATTGAGTTACTGGGTATATCAGGATCATGCGCCGAGAAAATCGGTCTATCAGATGCACTTGTACACTGTTTTTTCTTCAGTGATGATGAAAAAGTGAAATTCGAATCAACTTCCATTATCCTCTTCAAAGGAATAACAGATCAAGAACTCAACACCCCACAGCTCAGAGCGCGGCACACAAACAGAAAATCCCCACGAATATAATATAGCAGTTGTTTAGCAGGGCACTCGCATGACTTGGAATTTTAATTTCACTAGTAGAAACGCATGTATACTCCACAACTGCTGAGATCATAATATGATGAATCCGTGGACAGTGGGAGTGGTCGCGATGGGGTTTGTCCCCGAATAATACATTGGAGATATCCGTACAACGAAAATATGTATAACCGCATAACCACAGATGAGCTGTCACCTGCACCGATCGAATTGATAGATTGTCTTAATCGATGAGTTCGCTTAGAGCAAGTGATTTTGTATCAGAAAAATTATTCAATAATAGTGAACACTAGTTTAGTGTTCACTAAGAATGAGCGAACTCAAAATACATATGGATTTGCTCAATATCAACAAGGGTCCTGATCACTTACAGCTGAGACATTGTTTCAGAAATACTACTTCAAGTACCTCATTTTCCTACCGTTGGTGAACATTTGTTTGTCACAATCGACTTTTTTTCAAGAAAACGATGTACTTGAAAAAGTTTTCTCCGTATACTCTACTGCGACCAGTTTTCTCCACAAAAACGTGATGAATGCAATTGATTGATGAATATTTGATAAGACAATAGCTACATAATGTATTCGTCAGATAGAAAGAAGCAGCTGTCCCGCCAGAATGCTGACCTACGCCTCAATGTTTTTCCATCTACTTGGACAACACTATAACTATTACCGTGTTATAAAGGTTCAATGAATTCCAGTGCAACACACAGATTTAGCACAGATGAACATCATAATCCTCAAGAAGTAAGAACATATTAAAACTGCTGCTAGCGTGGATAGTACTTAGATTTTAGACATTCTTCATCTTGGATTTTGATCCGTGAATAACTGTGTGTGTCTTATCAACGTCTCGAAGTCTATTCCAGAGTCGTTGAAGGTTCAGTAGCAAGTCACAGTACTTGTCTTATAAAGTGAATAGCATTGTCTGGGATCCTGGGGATGTAACAGAGTCGAGGCAAGAGATGTATTCTTAGTACAAGAGAAAATAATCAGAGGCCTTGGATTTTTCTCAAGGATTCCTCAGGCTCAGTAACATTTGGATACACTTGCTGGGATGTTTTCTCTCACGAGAAGAACAAACAGAATCAGTTATCTAGTCTTCTGCAACCAATTATTCTCACAAAAACGTGATAGATGCAATTGATTGGTATGACAATGAAGACATAATTTATTCATCAGATAACAAGAAAGCTGGCTCTCCCTCTCCTCAATACAAAATGCTTCCCTTCACCTCAGTGTTTATCCCTGTTCACAAGATTTTACTGCAACACACAGATTCAGCACAGATGAACATCACAATCCTTAAGAAGTAGAAAAATATTAGAGCTGCTGCTATCGTGGACAGTACAGTATTTGTTCCATGAAGTGAATAACCTTGTCTGGGATCCTGGGAATGTATTCTTAGTACAAGAGGAAACCCTGGATTTTTCTCAAGGATTCCTTAGGCTTAGGCACATTTGGATTCACTCGCTGGGAGATATTTTCTCACGAGGGGAACGAACAGAATCAAATATCTACTCTTCTGCAACCAATTATTCTTTAAAAAACGTGATTGATGCAATTGATCGATAATAAAGACATCTCCATCCATCTCAGTGTTTATCCATCTACTTCGACAACACTAATTACCGTGTTACAAGAGTATCCCTGTTTACAAGATTTTAGTGCAACACACAGATTCAGCACAGATGAACATCACAATCCTCAAGAAGTAGAAAAATATTGGAGCTGCTGCTATCGTGGATAGTACATTTTTGGATGCGGTTGAAGTATGCAACTCTGCAATTGGGATAGAATCATCGAGGAGTGCATGCCTTATGCAATGTAGTTTCAACATTAGAAGTGTCTTATTAACGTCTCGAAGACTATTTCAGAATCTTTGAAGGTTCAGTAGCATAACAAAGTCGCAGTACTTGTCTTATGAAGTGAATAACCTTGTCTGGGATCCTGGGAATGTAACAGAGTCGAGGCGAAAGATGTATTCTTAGTTTAAGAGGAAATAATCAGAGGCCCTGGATTTTTCCCAAGGATCCTTCAGGCTCAGTCACATCTGGATTCACTTGCTGAGATGTTTTCTCTCACGAGAAGAACATACAGAATCAGTTATCAACTCTTCTGCAACCAATTATTCTTACAAAAACATGATAGATGCAATTGATTGATATGACAATAATTTATTCATCAGATAACAAGGAATCTCTCCCTCTGCTCAATCCCAAATGCTTCCCTCCACCTCAGTGTTTATCCATCCACTTCGACAACACTAATTACCGTGTTGCAAAGGTATCCCTGTTGACTGAAATTACGTCACACACACAGAGCAAGACTAGTATTGATTCGTAGGTGCTCGCAGCTCCAGGTCAGCGGCTGCGTGCTCAATGCCAAAACGACCCTCTGCCGGTCTCTCTCGACGACGAAAGAGACGGGGTAGCTCTCTCCAGACCGGGCCCCTGCCATCGTTTCGCGAACCCTGCGCAGTGCATGAGCCCTGGCCTGCCTGGAGACCACTCCTAGTGCTGGTGTCGAATGTGACACTACGAATGTAAGAGTGTGCTGTGCTCGACGATGCCGAGGATCAGGGGACACGTGTAGAGGCCCCAGGATGGGGCACAGCCGGGTGGTGTGGCCAGCCGTGCTGCTGACCCTTTTGCTGGTCCTGCCATGGGCATCGGCTGGGTAAGTCGGAGCATGTGCTTTATTTTGGTCCGGATCCAGTGGGTGTGTGGTTGGTTCCCTGATGCTGATGCTCGGTCGGGACAACATTCAGAACTCTACTCCAATACACATCTTTCTGAATAAAATACGAATGATGATTGGCTCCAAATGTATTTATCAGCAGGTATCGTTGGGGAATATTATATTGGACAAAGTTTCATGTTGGCAGTAGTTAATATACTTCAACTGCATTCAAAGCTTCAGATACCCATGCAAAAAATTGTGATACATGGTCTGTGAAACATTCATGACTGAATGGTAAACATATGTTAAAATTTGAAAATGAATAATAAAATCCAACTAGTTCAACAGATCCTTTAGTGAGACTTGATTGTATGAAATCAGAGAGATGACCACCTCATGAATATATAGCTATCACTAACAAAGCGTGCACTTTATACAATATTCCATTCTTTTGATGAGATTGTGCAAACCTCAGTGCCATCTGGGAGGTGCCCGGACAATAAACATCTTATTGCTGGGATCTGGTCCAGGAAATGTTTACTCAAGAGGCAATTGACTGTAACAATATGAGGTGCATACTCTCACGAAGTTGTCGCGGTATCAGCCCCATTCAACATGAATACTGTTGAAGCTAGGTGTTGAAGATGTTCTTTTTATGATTGTGTTAATTTCATGTACATATAGTATATTATAAAAAAATAATAATGTCAGTTAGACAGAAAAATAAAAAATAGATTCTGACACGAATTTTCAAGATAGAATTTTATTAAATATACCATTTAAAGTATATTCTGAAATATTGGTCCTTCGAGATATAGAAACCAACACTGTGGACAGCAGTTTACGATAAGCAGAATACTGAGTATATGGAAAAACCAAACGGCAAGAGACTCACGGCAGGAATCAATAGAAACCTAGATAAGAATTACGTTTGGCCCGAGAATTTTGCTTCAGCTAGGACTATTATGACCGACGAAAGAAATAAAAGAACAGAAACTAATGAAATCGATACTCATGAATCTGTTTCTCATCAGTCAGCAAACAAATCGAATCATACTTCTCGACATTCAACTCATACCAAATGTTCTAAGAGTAGTATTGAACTTCTAAGGAAAAGAGTTGAATTGGAAGCAGAAAAGGCAAAACAAGTTTTGTTGGATCAAGCCTTGAAGGAGAAGCTGAAGATTATCGAGATGGAAAGACAATTACGTGAAGCAGAAATCTTGGAGTTGGAAGAAAGACACTCTCAAATGAGCTGCAGACGTAGTGAAAGTTTGAACCTTCACGAGCATGATGTTGACATTTCTCCAAAAAGTTTTCTCGAAAATGATCCAGTGACTGAGTGGGTGAATCAGATTCCAAACGGATTCGACCAATTGAGTATTGCAGAAGTCGCAGATGTACCAAATATGCAGATGAATTCACCACAACATGAAAATGCTATGATGCATTCATATACAGGGCCCAACAATCCCGTTATTCAGATGACTTCAGGGCATTTGGACCAGATATGCCAAATAATGAGAAAAAACTGCCAACCAGGTACATCAGGACTTGGATCATCAAACTATTCAAGCTTACCTAAGTTTGACGGTAATCCAGAAGATTGGGCAATATTTCTCAATCAGTTCAAGAGAACCACGGAAATATATCGTATTTCGGATGAAGAGAACATTATTCGACTGCAGAAGTGTCTCACTGGACGAGCAAGAGAATCTGTACTTCCACTTCTGATATCATCTTCGAATATATCCAAAATCATACAGACTCTTGAAATAACATTCGGGCGACCAGAATTTATAATTTCTACACTGATCGAAAAGGTAAGGAAAGCTCCTCCTCCCAAAGAAGGACGATTCGAAACTTACCTACCCTTTTCAAACGTAGTTGAAAATTTAGTGACGACTATGCAAGTTTTCAACAGTACTGGACACATGAACAATCCACAATTGTTATCTGAAGTAATTGTGAAGTTACCACCATTTCTTAGACTAGAATGGGCTAAAACAACAATTACCAGAACTGACGTGACATTGAAGGAATTTTCTGACTGGTTGAGAGAAATCGCCATAGCAGCTTCTTCATGTATTAGTGCAGGCATAGTCGACAAAAAAGTATTCGAAAATGATAATTTCGAATCTAGACGGAAGAAAGAAAACGTGTTTTCAACAGGAAAAATTGAGACAGGAAAGAAGTCCAACTGCAATGTCTGTAAAAAAAGTTATCACCCTGTAGAAGAATGTGATGCTTTCAAACAAATGGATGTTAACGAGAAATGGAAGTATGTAACATCGAAAAAACTTTGTTTCGCTTGTCTCCGACCTGCTCACACTGTTTTCAAATGCAGAAAGAGAAAAAAGTGCAGCATTGAAGGTTGTGAAAAATTTCATCATTCTATTCTACATAATCCAGACATGGTGAAGACCTTCCTTTCTAAAGATGAGTCTTCAGATTATCAAAGCAATCATTCAGAGAGAATTCATCATTCACGGGACGACCAGGCAGAAATACTTCTTCGCATAGCACCAGTGAAATTGAAAAGTCACAATAAAGAAATTTTCACCTTTGCTCTATTCGACGAAGCAGCGACTACAACTCTGGTTGACTCCAGGATTGCAGAGGAAATAGGACTCGATGGACCGGTCGAGCCCCTTTGTTACCAGTGGCTGAACGAAGTGAGCAGGAATGAAGACGATTCGAAAAGAGTTTCACTAAATATTTCTGGGGTGGATGAAACGGCGAAAACTTACCGAATTTCTGGCGCAAGAACAGTTCGAGATCTATCCTTACCAAAACAGACAATAGATGTAGATGAAATGGCAAAGATGTATCCCTATATCAAGCAAGTTCCAGTAGTTTCCTTCAGAGATGCTCAGCCCATGATATTGATCGGACAAGACCAATGTGCTTTAACAATAGCACGAAAACTATACCAAGGTTCTTCGTGGAATACGCCATTTGTTTCGAAAACTTTGTTGGGATGGGTCATCCATGGACGAAAACCTGAGTTCAAACAGAATCTTGATAGATCTCTGGTATTTCATCTGTGTTGCAGTCAATCACAAGAAAATGACGAATACTTGCATAATCTTGTGAAAGACTCATTTAAGACTGAAAATTTTGGCGTTAAAATAATTGAAGGAAACGGAAGATCGAAAGAAGACGAAAGAGCACTAGAAATTATGGAAAAGACTCTGAAGATGGTTGAAGGAAGATTTGAACTTGGATTATTGTGGAGGAACGACGCGGACATTCTACCAGATAGCAAAACGGTGGCAATGAATAGACTGAAATGTATGGAGAGAAAAATGGACAAGAATGTTAATTTTTCTGAAAGATATTGCGCTAAAATTGAAGAATATTTGAAGAAAGGATATATACGAAAACTTGAACCAGATGAGGCTAAGAAAGACGGACCAAGAACTTGGTATTTACCTCATTTTGGTGTGATTAACCCGAATAAGCCCACCAAATTGAGGTTAGTGTTTGATGCTGCAGCCAAATCAAATGGTATAAGCTTGAATACTCAACTTTTACAAGGTCCTGATTTATTGAGGAGTTTAACTGCCATCTTATGGAAATTCAGACAGAGAAAAATAGCGTTTTGTGGAGACATCAGAGAGATGTTCCATCAGATATTAATAAGAGACGAAGACTGTTCTGCACAACGATTTTACTGGAGAGGAAATGATAGATCTAGATTTCCAGATGTATACGAAATGAAGGCCATGACTTTTGGTGCAACATCCTCCCCTTGTATGGCGCAATTTGTGAAGAACAGAAATGCGGAAAATCATCTGAACGAATTTCCAGAAGCAGCCAAAGCCATCATTGATAAGCACTATGTGGACGATTATTTAGATGGAACAGACTCTGAAGTTCAAGCAGCACAACTAATATCTCAGGTAATTGAAGTTCACAGACGGGGCGGTTTCGAGATTTGCAATTGGATATGCAATTCCCAGGAGGTTTTGAGAACCATTCCAGATGAACTTCGATCTGAATCTCAGAAAAAACTGAATTCGTTCTGTCAGGAGCCATCAGAGAGGATTCTGGGTTTATGGTGGAGACCAGAAACTGATGATTTCACATTCTCTACTCACTGCCATAAAGTCAATCCAAATGTGATGAATTCTTCGAAATTCCCAACTAAGCGAGAAGTTCTTCAGTTGACTATGTCTGTTTTTGATCCACTCGGATTTTTGTCACCTTTGATTATAAAATTCAAAATTTTCATGCAAGATATATGGCGCCTTGGAATTGGTTGGGATGACATGATTACCCCAGAAATGGAGTCCAGGTGGACTCACCTGATGCAAGAATTCCGATCAATTGAAACAATATTCATTCCAAGGTGGTACGGACCTAATTTATCACAAAGTACCTGCATAGAACTCCATGGATTCTGCGACAGCAGTGAAAAAGCATTCGCTGCAGTGGTCTATTTACGTTTTGTGGTTGGAAATATCATCCACGTAGCCTTCGTCAGTGCTAAAACTCGAGTAGCACCATTGAAACAACTCAGTATACCGAAACTCGAACTTCAAGCAGCTGTTATGCTGAGTAGACTCATGAACACCATTCAAAGTAATTTAGAAATCAAAATATCGACATCTTATCTGTGGACGGATTCGAGCACCGTACTGTATTGGATAAGATCAGAATCAAAAAGATTCAAGACCTTCGTCTCGCATAGAGTCGGCGAAATTTTAGGACTGACAGACGTCTCCAGTTGGTGTTGGGTTCCTGGGGAAGAAAATGTTGCAGATGAGAGCACTCGGCAAATTCCAAACAAAAATAACAATTGGTTAGATGGTCCAGAGTTTCTAAGGTCTACCTCAGGATCTTGGCCAAAAGAAAAGAGGGAAGAACTGAACTTGGATATGCTGGAAATAAAAAAAGAAAAAGTTTTGATCACAAGGATAATCGAGAGTTATCTACCTGATGTTCAACGATTTTCAAAATATAGAAGACTTGTTCGAACAACAGCATGGATG